TTTTTAAAAAAAAAAAAAAAAAAAAAAATCTCAAAATTGTTTATTTTCAAAGCCCTTTAAAGAAATTAACTGGTGTATTTCCAATAATAAAGATTATCTCTTATTTTTAAAGGAAAGTCAAATGAAAAAGAAAAATAAGAGATTATCATTTCGTAATACAATTCTAAATTTAATTCTATAATGTATAATGTGATACTAAGTAGATGCGAATTTAAGAATTTTTTTTTATTATGTTTGAAGAATTTTTTGTATGAAAATAACATTTCGAGCGCATAATGTGATTATCCAATAAAACCATTGAAATCTTGTCAATCTGCCTAGTTATAATTATCACCTTACACAAAATTTATCTGAAAACAAGATAATTGACCTATTTAAGATAATTGTTTGTTTGTTATATCGAACTCATTATCACAAATTTTTAAATGTGTGACAAATAAAAAAAAAAATCATCTTAGAATATGATTGGTAATTTCCTTATCAACCCAAGGTATATCTTATTATATAAGTAAAAAAAAATATATTTATACAATAATTAACCTATTTTGTACATATTAAATTTATGACACAAAAGAAGTGTAGTATTTTCGAAGCGACTCTTATTGTAATACTTGAATTTGGGTTTTAACCGATAAGAATAAAATTAGTAAATTACAATAAACCTAAACATTAAGCCTCCTTAACGTTTAGAGAGAAATTTCTTATAAATTACTCGGAAAATATATAACATAAATCCTATTAAATAATCAAGGATATTATTAACGGACTTGCAGTATATCATGTCATATATTTATTGTATCCAATCATTATGTAAATCTATTCGTGATCATTAGATAATAAATGGATTAACATGAATTACATAATGTCTCAAATTTCATGTTGAACGATGATCTTATTAATTTTCACCAATCAAAGGTAATCCTTTCTATACATATTTCTGTTTCAAGTCATCAAAAAAAAAATTCCGTATATTATTTATGATTTTATCAAAAAAAGAATTTAGTCGATTCCTATTTAAGCTTAAAAATGCTGATCGGAAATTTAGGTCCGAGCTTTTGATCGATTAATTTATCGATCAATGATTAATGCTTCCTTCGAGAAATTCTTCGTTCTCTGATAATCAATAACATCACGCGTCTCAGTAATTTTATAATTGTGTTTGTCCGATTATTTCCGTAATTCCCTTATCTTCAGATTTTCTTATTTTCCGTAAAAATTCCATGAATCTGTTACATGCTACAATTGCTACATAAGTGCCACTTATTTGAAGTGCAATGAAGCTACTACCATTGCAGTAATTATATCTAAACAAATATTGTTGTTATTAAGAAACACTTGTAAAGTAATAGAAAAATATTTTAATATAATTATATAAATTAATTGAAAACAGTAAATCTATTTTTAATAAGAAAATTTTATACAATCAATTTAAATTTACACCCTATATAATTTATTTTACATATTTTTTTAAAAAAATAAAAAGCTATTTTGCATTTGATTATTATTAGTTATTTGCTAGAATATTTCCCAATATTTTCAATATTCTTTATCATTACTTGCTTATTCTATAAAAATTGATTAATTTTTCTTTTTTTTTTCTAATTATTATTATTTACTATAATGACATGACTATATTTTGAATTAACAAATAATTGGATAATTGAACTATTATACTATTTGATTTTAAATTTAAATTGTTTTTTTTAAAAAAAAAATTTGAAATTTTATTAAAATAATATACTAATATATATATGAATTAGCAAAGTTGTATTCACAAGATAAGTTGGAATATTGTCTTACCTGCAACACTTAGCATAGGACGAAAACAGATCATGTGAAATCAATCATCCGAAAAAATGTACTCATTGCCATGATAAATGCACTGCCGAAATAATAGGACTGTGCAAATTCCAAGGTAAATAAAATTTTGGTCATATGAGAATTTTTTTTTTATTATATTAATATTTATATATCATGCCGAATCTCTTAACAAACAATCAGGATAGTACAGCTTATAAAGAGCTGGAAGGTGCTTTGCTAAGGCAGAACTACTTTGAACAATGGCATATATTTAGGGGATGGAAGCATGGATGTAAGGTTTGTGAGGAATGCGATCATCACTCACATCTGTATTGCAAAAGGTGTAAGAAGGTTGTGGAAGGAATTTATAAGCAATGTGAATGTTCTCAGATAACTTGATCAATAAAGCAATGGTGCAAATTTACCAGACATTTTATAATTTTTTCGCATGGAGTGGGTTATGGAATCGTGTGAAGCAAAGTGTGCTATTATTTTTTCAAGTTTTATATAAATCAATGCGCAGTAATATTATAGTAATCGTTATATGTATCACGGGAACAAGTAATTGCGCAAAATAATTTATTCAAACTTTCTCGCACATTCTCAAAATTATGTATAGCTCCGCATTAAATGACCTAGGATCCGCGTACTCCCTATTTGACTACCTCTACTTTTTTACTGAAAAATTAATGGTTTCGCATTGCATCAAAAAATCATTAATTTTGTGTGCTAATTTTTTCATATATAAAAATGTTACTTTTATGTACTAGCCCACAGATCAAATTTTTTTTCTTTTCAAAAAAATATTCGGAGATAAGTAATAACATCTATATCTCATAATCGATATTCGAGAAAATAAAACTTATTATTATAATAAAGAGCACATATATCTCAGATGTCCCGCAGTGTCGATCATTAAGATTTATCGATTAGATCGCTTTATTACTTTGATCAAGTTGAAATTGAGCTGTGGTCCCTCGGCGGTCTGGCCGAGTGGTGTGCCCTCAATGTTTCATGCGACAAAAAAAGAATTTTAGATGGCATGAAAAAAGGAATACATGATGTACTTAATAAATCTGCCTCAGAATATGCTAAACTGAAGGCCAATAATATGCTCAAGAATTTGGAGGGAACTATTAATCTTCTTTTAGTGTTAAACTATTGGCACATTTCAGGACTGTTAGTCGGCTGGGTGTTGAACTGTTAGTTCGCTACAGATCTCATGTGCAAAACAATGCTCTCTCATATGTAAAGATAGTTCTAAAGGTTGATTTACTGTGAAATTTTGTAGACTTGGAAATTGGATAAAAACAAGAGCAATTTTTTCGAGTGTTTAGAGAATCTGAAGAAAATAAGAAATGATGAAACACTTCAACTGGCACAAATCAAAAGTGAAGAAACGGCTGAGATCAAGGTACTGTTTTTTTACTCATCATTTATTATTTGAAATTTATTAACCCTTATTCTGATGCAGTCGAAAAATTTGCAAGAACATACCATCAAAGTAGTGAAATTCCATAAGAACATCGCTGAAGATCTCACCACTGTTGATCGTAAAAGGAAAGAGAGTCCATTAGATGAAGATGTGGAACAAGAATATGATGCGAAGACGACGTCAGCTGAGGTCCGATATCTTGCACTTTATCACCGACTTTATAGTTGTAATTAATATATTTTTTTTTATACAGAACTTCAAGAAACGTTTATTAGATTTTGATTATGATTCTGATAGCTCTATCGACGAAGCCGAAGATTCAGAGGATGAGACTTTCGATCTTAGCAAATTTACATTTGATGGGTGGGTTGATAAATGTGATAAGAAAAGATGGACTTTAAGCAGTGGCGAAAAAGTCAGGGATTTTTTACTAACATGACACGTAAAGAAATTGAAAAAGTAAACCAATTAGAGAAAGTAGACGGAAAGATTCTGAGCATCATAAGGTATATCATATTTGTTAAGATTATTTTTGATATTTATATTTTAACCACTTATATACGTATATCCAGACTTGGTCTTTCATCAATAATCGATCTGTCATCGGAGTTCGATAAAGGAATGTGTACATGGGTTGGGGAAAATTGGGAAGACCTGAAAATGAAAGTTTCGAAGAATATAAATTTCGAAGTAAAAAAATTAGAAGGTGACACTTTATCTGATGTCATTAAAATGGAAAAGGTTTGTAAAAGGCGTGTTGATTGTTGTTGTGCACTGTACCTGTAACATTAAACTATACTCTTAAATATTTAGTTATGTGCCTCATACCATTATTGGGAAGCTCGCGCTTATCTATTAGATAAATTAAAAGAAAGGCCCATTGATGACAAACATCGACAAGTTTTAAAAATATATTATCATCTGTATATTATCATTGTTTTATATAAATTTTTTCGCTTCTTACGATTAATCTCAAAATATTTAACCATCACTAGAATCGATATGCTGTTAGAAAATCCTTGTACTTTTGTTAACAAGGAAGGAGGAAAAAAGAATTTGACAGAAATCGAATATATTATGAAGGTTTCGGGTCCCATATTAGAAATAATTTTTTCAAATGATCATGATTTAGTATCTTAAATGGTAAGTATTTTCGTAAATATTATTTTCTATTAGTTTCTAATTTAATTTTGCATATTCGTAGGGGTGAGACAGTTTCTAAATCAACTTTAAATCGAAAGATAGATTTGAGGGTATTGACTGCCAAAGACGATATAGAGTTATCACATTCAGAATTTGCACGTAAAGCAACACCAGTAAAAATAATCAAAGATCGCAGTAAGTGTCTGAGAACTAATAAGTGCATATTGGATACTTATCTTTTGCGTAATCTTCCTGAGGAAGCTGTCGAAGATTTCATTTTTTATGGAATACAATCAGCCGGTAAGACAGCTAGATAACTTTTAAAACAACAATTATTAATGATGATTATGACTTATAACATTTATTATTGCGTTAGGTTTAGAAGGGCAACTCTTCGCTATTGATTTAGTTGATGATGGGTTGTACTTTAATTTGGATGGTCCAACGTATAGATTTCCTGCACAACTATGCGACATTAATACGTTAAGAAATACACTCGAAGTTTTATATTTTTTTAAGGTGAGAAAACTAAATTTTGAATTTCTATACTTTCAGCAATATTAAATGCTTATAAAGACTTATTTGACAATAGGATAATGCAATCAACAAAGCCAAGTATTTGTCTTGTGATGACGGTAATAGTATTGCGAAAATACTTCATTCAAGAGCAATAACCACAAAATCTAAACATCACAAGATTAACTATATTAAGAAGACATATTTTACGCCAAAAAAAGCTATATCCAGTGAAATCAAGGCTCTGTGTTCACGAGAATGCACATTACGTGGAGAAAAATAATGTTCATTTATCGATAGTGGATTTCAGCCAAAGGCCATATAATATATTTTTTCCTAACTTTTGCTGTTCGATATAATTTGTCATATAAATTAATGTCAATCCATTTGTAACGTGCTCATGAAACATACACAGATTGATATATACTTTTTCTTCACAAAAAATGAATTATGAATACTGAATCAAATCTGATATCTCAAACCGGTATAAAAATTTTTCTTGGCAAAAAACCGTGAACAATGTTCATGATCAGCCAGTATAACCTACTTATTTATCTTGGCATTTTTATGAGACCGTGCGTTTATTATCCAATTAATGCAAATACTCTTTAATAAAACACTTCTTGAATCAATCCATCAAATCGGTTAGACAATCATGTGTATGATTCACCCCGAAATCTTTGATTAAGGTGGTGATTTCATGAAATTCCAATTTTTTGTGCAATGTATAAATAAATATATAATCGCATTTAATAAGGTGTATTCTGACTTACTAGCTAAATTACCAACTTCCCTAATAAATGAGGCATGGATACGTCTCACATTATGGAAGCGTAATCCATTATCTGAGATAAAGGCTAGTGAAATTAATCCAATTGTAGAGACATTTTTAAAACATGAAGCTAATAGATATCAGAAAAGATTAATGTGTCAGAGATGAACTCAAAGTTGGCCAGAGTGCCTGACATCATTACCATTCAAAGAAATACCAACTATATATTTACAGATAATGGGTCCTAAACTGATAAAATTGCCTGTGGTCATGAAGAAGAGAATAATTGACAGGTTATGAATGAGCTTAAAGTGTTCCACCAGCACCTCCTTAATTATAATAAAAGAACTTTTGAAAAATTCATGTAAGTCATTGTAAGACATAGAAAAAGAATATAGAGAGCGGATTAGTATGATTAAGAAATTGCGATTGAAAATGAGGATCTGAAGATGCAGTTGCAGGAGGTGGAAAAAAAAGCTGGAATCTATAAAGTCAGATCCTACTCATTAGTTGGGACACTTTTTTCCAAAACTTGGTCCCATTCTAGCTATATCCTGTGTGGATACTTGTGAAGTACAGTTAAATCAAAAATAATGAATTTTTGCTCACATAATGCCTTGTCAATAATCTTAACTATACTATGCCAGTTATTAGCATATTGATGTACAATTCTGCTCAGCTTATCTGTAGTGCAGGACTTCACTGTTAAATAGGCAGATATGTGTGAGATTTTTTCATATTATCTTCAAACAGTCAAAATAACTCTGTGATACATATATCGAACTAATATTATAATGGTACCCTTTGATGAAATAAGAAATAATTTTCTCTTGAATTTTCTTTGGATTAGCATATATATCTTTGAATATAGCTACTGTATTCCTGTTCAGAGAAAATGAATCTATCTTAGGGATTTATCAGGCTTTAAAGTTCAAAATGAAATATTTTCATGATATAGTTTTGGACTATTAGCAATTATTTGATAAGCCGATTTGAGATACAAATATTTCAACTCCTTGAGTTGGTAGCCGATTAATAGCAAATCATCATTTTTGATATAGCATGTCCTTTTCTTCTTCCCATTAAATATTCAATAAAGCTTATTTTTAAGCATAAAATTAAGAATCCCATTAGTTTTTCCCAAATTGGTATATCCACAAATTAGTAAAGTAAAAGGCCATTAAGGAATACTGGAATTGGCATTGTATTTTGAGCATCTTTAATCTTGTTAATATGGTATACAAGCCTATTAACTGGTTCAAGTTTTTATTTTATACTAAGCTAACTATTAATAATGATATACTAAAATTACTAGACTGATAAATCAGTCCTTCTCTTTTTAGTATTCCTTCGCTTTATTCAAGAACTCTTTCTCAATTAGCATATATCTAATAAACAAATATAAATCCACAGTATAGGGCACTTCAATAAGGCATATATCTTAGTTCTTGCATATATCCCACTTTACTTTACTTTATTATATATAAAATTATGTTATTATTTTATTAGTAAAATGATTGTCAGTAAAATGTACCTGTTAGTAAAATAATTGTTAATAATATAACTATTAGTAAAATATATTTGTCAGTAAAGTGAATATCAGTAAAATGATTGTTGGTAAAATAATTATCAGTAATATAATTGCCAGTAAAATGTACCTATTAGTAAAATGAGTGTTAGTAAAATTATTGTTGGTAAAATGATTGTTAGTAATATAAACCAGACCCTCTTAAAGTAACTTAAAAATTAAATGAAATCAATGAATATATTTAATAAAACTATTAAATAATTATAATATATATATTTTACCTTTATATCAAAAATAGTTGTATAAAGTTTCTTTAAATAATATTGAGTTTTAAATAGATTTTTATTAAAATTGATAAAATTTTAAACAAACTTCTTAATACTATCTCTAAACATACAATTATATAGTATATTTGACAATTTATTTATAATAATCAATTTGATATGAGATATTAATTTAATTTTTTAAATTCTAATTTCTATTTACTAAGTTGAGTTTCTTTTAAATCATAAGCTGTGATTACCTTTAATATTAATATATCAAGTGTATAACTTTAAATATCTGATTATAGATAATAGTTTTGTTTTAGAAAATTTATTCTGGTTGAATTAATTAAATTTTTTTTTGATATAATAAATGAATTTTATTTAGTAGGATTTTGAGTATTAATCTTTTAATTTTACAGCTTATCTTTAATTTGATCTATTTAATGTACACACTATAAATTAGTCAATAATGTGAAATTCAGTTAATAAAAGTATTATACATACATTAAAAAAAAAAAGAATTATCAAAATCAGATTATAATTGGTTTTGTTAATTGCTATTATAAGATATTTAAAATTAAGAAAAAAGTTAATAATATATTATGTTAAAATTAACTCTAGTATATAATATTAATAAGGTGCTGGAAGTCTATATTTAATAATAAAATTGGGTACTTAACACTTTAAAAAAATAGAATTTTAAAGAAATAAACTGGTAATTTATTCTTTAAGATAAATACCATTAATATAAAAAGTTGTTAGTATTTGAATTTTGGTAATTCCTATATGATTAGCCTAAATTTGAAACAAAAAAGTCTGTGAATGGGCAAAAATCTACATAATTCAGATTGATATTTATTTATTGAATACCATTCCAAGACTAAAAATATTGAATTTTCTCTCTCAATATTTAAATTCGGCTTTTTAGATGAGTATAATATGACCTCCATTGTATATAAGGTATGGTGCTAAAAATTGGTATATATGGTTAGTATGGTACTTACTTTCATATTAAAATTCTATACAGTATAGCTGATATTTGACCATACCATACTCATTATCATTGTACCGCTTTTTATTGGCTCAGCTTTATGAAAAAATGGCCGGCAAAACTGTCCCGATTTTCAGTTTTTTACTGGCTAATTTCCTTTTTTTTTATACATTTTCATTTTCTATTTACTACCCAAAAGATGAATTTCACTTTATTTAAATAAATTTTACCTTAATAAAAAGAAAATACCATAAATAAATATATGTGTAAAATATGCATAATATATATCATTTTTTTTTTTTTTAGCATAAGTTTTAAATTATCGAACCAAAACGCTGAAATTATTAGACTAATTAAGCCCAGTAACCTATTAACATATAATTTTAATTTATTAATAAAAAAATCATAATACTAATCGTTAAGATATTTTACTTTTACTTACCGATCAAAGCCATGATTCCTGCTCCTAGAAGGAGGAAAATGAATGCTGAAGTTTGATAAATTGTAGGTTTCTCTCGGAATTTTGAATCGTAAATGAAATCGTTAGCGATCAATTCAACTAAGGCTGCGTAAAGTAAGATGCCAGCAGAGATAGAATCAAGAACTCCTTGAACAATTAGCGCAGTTGCTGAATTAGGATCATATGTTTCGCGTACACCTAAGCCAATAGCGATTCCAAATGGAGTTGTTGTACCATAGGCGAGGGACATCAACCATGGTTTGATACTACCTTTTGGAAATTTAAGATCAGCGATTCTAGATCCAAGTCCAAGTCCTTCGAACATCTTATGATAAATATTCAATTTCAAGAAAAAATTAATCATTGTCGTTTTAGTATGATACACATTGTGAGAAAAGATACTATACCTGATGGAAAACCAAAGCGACAAGAAGTGAAATAAAATCTGAACCGGTCGCAACAGATAAAGCCAATCCAATAATAATTGAGTGAAAACAAATACCAAATTCTAAAACAATGATTCCAATAGTTTGAGATTTACTCGTTAACAAGACCAAAGTTCCATGAGCATGAGCATGAGAATGATGAGAATGGAGATTTTTATTCTCATCGGAAGTAGATTCGTCTGAATTAGTAGCGGTTGAATCAAGTTCATTCTTATGTGTTGGTAAGGTTTGTTCGATATTGTGAGTGAAATTTATAGCAATATATTCAATAAAGAAGATAAATGTTGCTGCCATCATTGCGATAGCTCCGGGCCATGCTGAATAATTATGCCAGATTTCAGGCAAACATTTGTTGGATAACATTTCAAATGACGATGGTAGCATCTGAAAGAAAAATATATATATATATGTATATATAATTAATAACATTTATTTGCGGAATTCTATTTTATTTAAAAAACTTTCTCACATGAATAAAAGCAGTGGCCACAATAACCCCGGTACCAAAGTGTTTACAAACTGTATAACAAATAGAGAAAATCAAGTTCAATAACTGTTAAAATGCAAAATTTAAAAAATTTAAAACCACTCCTTTTTATATATATATATATATAAACATACAGAAAAATATATAAGAAGGAACTTTGAACTTTGGAAATTTCTTTGACATAACAGGAAGGAATGATCCTATTAAAAGGTTAAAAAAAATAAATAATATTTTATTAGACGAATCACGCAATATAATTAAAAGAAAAAAAATAATTTACCTAATGAACTTGTAGTAAGGACGATAAATAAAGCGCCAATATGGAGCCCTAAATTGTAAGTTCTTGCATCAAATTCACTACCAGAACTACATTCTCCCGTCGTTATAGCACCTGCTTCTCCTGTACTTTCTGTATGCGCATCGGCAACAGCGAAAGTCGGTAATAAAAAGACCAAAAGATTGCATATAAATAACTTGGACATGTTGTTTTTAATGTAGAAAATCATAATTGTATAAAGAATCTTAGAGGAAATCGTAAAAAAACTAATAAAAAAAATAACATAAAAAAATAAATCAATAAAACAGCATAGAGCCCAAAGGACAAGAGAGGTAATTGTCGTTCTTTTGTAAAAAATTTTAAATATGGTGAAAGGAGGAATAACCTGCAAGGTACTTCTACGATCAAAAAATTTAACTAATAAGGTACGCAATTTTTTGGATAATTGAAATTCCATTATGCATGGATCGGCAGTTTATATTTATAAACTGTAGTCGGACTAACTCGATTTATTACAACTCTTATAAGAGGAGCTCCCAACAATATTTGGGGATGAACAAATTGTCATAAATAACAGTACTTATTATTGTAGAATAAAGCTTTTCAAACGATACATAATGAATTCAGATCAAGATTTAACCGGATTTAAATAATTGTACGATGTAATGTGCATAACCTTTCGGGTACTTTAAACCCGAAAGGTACTCATTTTAACCCGAAAGGTACTCATTTTAAACCCGAAAGGTACTCCTTTTTTGCGTTACCTTTAGATTAAATTTAAAATAAAACGGAAATGAGCAAAATTTTTCCGTTTGAAAAATGTTCTCGTATAACTTGTCCATATAAATTAAGTTTATTTAAATATTATTTAGCGGAACACACTTTTTAAAGTTCAATCATAGTTGATAATCTTTACAATCTTTAATTACACAAGATGCAATTAATTAGTACCTGCTCATGATGATTTATTTCGAAAAAAATAATTTTACTGCATAAAAATAACGAGATTCGTTTTAGAGAAATTTTCTTTTTAATTTTTAATGTATGACTATGACCAAAAAATTTGATAAAGAACAAACCTTTTTCCTTTTCCCGATACGCCTTATTCTTGTATAACATAACTTTATTTGATGAATAAAATGAATACAATTTTAAATTCATGACCAATCATATTCTTCTTAAAACACTAGTTATTGCGGCTGCAGAAATGGGTAAGCTTACTTTTATAGAACGTCATATATTATATCATTATTATGATATTAATATGATCTTTGGCGCGCAGAATATATCGCATAACTTTTTATCTTAATTTAGATTACGTAATCATTAGTCATCATTTTTACATCACTTTTTTTTTAAAATAACAGTACGTCCTCATCTCCTCATCTATCCTCATGTCAAAGGTTAGAAAACACAATATTTATAAATGATCCACTTTCGCTTTTTTTAAAACGTAAATTTTCACGTGAATTGATCACCTTTAAATACGAAAAGAATTTCAGCCCATAGTCCTTATTATTCAAAAGGAGTCCAATAGATGTTATCTTATATATATATATATATATCATATATGTATGTAATTATGTATACATACAATATACTTATTTCCAAGTAGCGTGAATTTTAAAATATGAAAATGGTCTGGATTCCGCATATCAGTACCTTTTACGATTGTTTTTTAATTTTCGTGCTTTTAAACTTGTTTGATTTTCATGAATATTCGTGAATCCAATAAATATTATTAATACTGCTCTTTAAAATATTTTCCCATTGCACACCTACCAAAAGTTTGCTCAACTATTAATTGTTTGTTAAAATTATTATTAATTCTATCGTAAGTTTTTATTATTAATTCCATAAAAACAAAAAACAAAGTTTTTATTATCAATACCATAAAACCAGATAAAGTTTACATTAAAAACGGATAATTTTTATTATTTATTATTATTTATTATCTGTGATCCAATCGTTTCGTGTCAAAGATCAAATATGATATCTCATCTACGGAATATTATTTATACCGTCACACACGCACGCAATAATTTAAATGTTACACTATAATCAATCTGATAAAAAATTCGGCAGTTTTAATTGGTCATGATCTTGAGATCATCATTCATATGTCTGCATCTTTTTTTTTAAAAAAAAAACTCCCTGAGAAAGAAAAAAAGATAAAAAATGTTCAAATATTATATTCGCACTTATTCCAATTTTAATTTATTATCAAACAAAAATTTATTATTTCGTTTTAAAACTACACCTAATTATTTTTCAAATAATAAAATTAATATATTACAAAATGTTATAAAATCAAATCGTTTTGTAACAAATATAACAAATTTATCGAAAAATGATAATATTATTAAAGTTTATTCTGGTCCATTATCTGGTACAGCTAAAAAGTTAAAGATTCTTTCTATGGCTTCTTTAATTGGTACAATCGCTTTAACTCCATTTATTATGATTGTTGATGCACCAATTGGATTGGGAGCTAGAATAATTTTCATTATTATGGGTATGTTTTTTTTTTCTTGAATCAACATTTTCAATTTTTTTTTTTTTTTTTTTTAGATTATAAAGATATTCATAATATTTTTTTATTTATTTTTTAAGCATTATCAACTAGTGCATTATCAACAGGATTAATTCATTTGTGTTTTTCCCCATACGTTAGAAATATTTATTATAATCAATCAATATCTTCAAATCAATCATCAGATATTCCATCTCTTAAAATAACTCCTGATTCATTTCTAACATTTGAAACTTTAACTTTATTTGGCAGATCAAATTTTACAACTTTACCAATAAAATCACTCGAGCCTTCTTTTAGATTTTTTACTACTTGGAATGTAAAAAAATTATATGATAGTGAGTTAACTGCAATGACAAAGAGAGGTAAACAATTGAAACCAAAAAAGTTATTTTATGTTCATAGTGAATTATGTGATAATAAAGTTATGCAAGGGGTAATTAATAATGTTGGTATTAATTAAATAAAATATTTAAGTATTTTTTACATCAATACGTTGTTTTAACGTAAGTTGAGGGTCCTAAAAGAATTTCTGAAATTTTACTAATATCTTTTTTATTCTTACCAACACTACTTCAAATCGATGAATTTTTATAATGGTTAAAAATTTATAGATATGGTAATCATTTACAATGGAGAGAAATATAATTATGATAGACAAATAACCGTAATTTGCAAATAAATTACAATGGTCAATAATTTATCAAAATTTATGTAAAGATACATTTATTTAAAATTTAATGCTTTATTAGTAATATTGAATATAACGAACATACATACATACATACATACATACATACATACATACATACATATATATACTAAATTTGATTATTATGTAAAAAAAAAAAGAATTTTCGTATATTCATTTAAACACCACCTATTAAAGGAGTAGATTCTTCACTGTGTCTGTTACGGATTTTTTGGATGACAGACCCAAGAATAACGATTGAACTAATAATGGCAAGAACTAAAGCGGTCCAATGAATAACTTGATCATTTTGTTCAACGGCGACACCATATAAGTACCAAGCAATAACAATAGAACCGGCGATATCACCCTTTCCTTTATAGAGGTAACCAATTGTGCCTAACTTTGCAAGAATCAATAATGCAATGACAACAAAGATTTTAACGACGAGACTTGGATGGCTATCATCGTTTTTCTTATCATTTGCGAATGCAGCGAAAGTGCTAATGAAAGCAATCACAAGGATCCATGCATGATAAAGAGAGAATGGAGCGCGAATCCATATAATTTCATTAATGTTGTTGCCATCACGTCGTTTAATAACTGCATAAATCATTGAAACTGGTATTGTAGTGATAAGGATGACGATCCATGAAAGAATAAGGTGATCGTTGTGCTGTATAATAAAAATTAAAATGTAAATAAAATATTATATAAAGTGCCGTCTTTAATTACACTTGATGGCGCAGTAAAATATTTACCCAAAGAGCAAGCCATAAAGTGTTCAACAAGGTGATATTGACGAAGTGCCAGTTAATACCATCAAGAACAAGATCTTGATCTCCGAACCACTGATAAATAACTATTTAAAAATTTCGTCAAAATTCTGAAAACAAAAAAAAAAAAAAATACATGAAAATAATAAAAACAGAAAATAATATTTACCGAAACCACCTAGCAAGAAATGGATAAGGCCCCAAACACCAAATACGAAAGGAGCTGGAGAAATATAAGTTAAATGTTTACCACCATATGGGGAATTTTCCTATGAAATTATGAAAATAAAATAAGCATCACAAGTCCAGAGCAACGTGTTATTTTTCCCCTTTTGATTTTTTTATATTAAAATAAAATACAATACGCTTTCACGGTTAAAAAGACCGGAGTATACGTTGCTTCCTAGAAGGAAGATATAAACAAACACATTTGCAATTTTAATCGCAAGTGGATAACGTGCCATGGTAGTTCTCGTAAAAGAAAAATTACTATTTACAAATGTTAAATGCGAACAAAATTTCTTTTGTCACTTAAAGTAATATGATAATAAAATAAGACCTATTTATATTACGTATATTATGATGTATTGATAATCAATCTATTAAGCTAATACAACTTGTGAATAAAAACGCCAAGGCACGACATTAGCCTTTATTTTCTAATATAAACATATCAGATATATTAATAATAATATTCGTTGTACAGAAAGAAAAAGTAACGTTGTATAAATTGCTTAGCCCACTATTTAGAAAGACATTTGATATTTTCCATCACTATTGAAATTTAAAAAGCCGAAATTTCCCTTTTGTTTAACGATTTTTTCTCTTTAATATAAATTTTTTGAGGAAAAACCAAAAAAAAATGCTTTTCGGATTAAACGTATACCATGTGGAAAAAGGCGGCAATTATACGCCACCATGCATAGCTAAAACTTATCTGGAGGTAGAAATGAAATTGCTTAGATTGATTTACCAATGTTTAAATTTACACAAATATTACCCCATACATTCGATGCCCAAAAAATTTAAATTACGTAGAACAATAATAATTTTAAAATAAGATTAATAGAGCCGAGAATGGATAACAAAGAAACCTCTTGCATTTTGTTTGGTGAAACTGTTAGCCAATATGTACAAAATTTTCAGATTATAGATAGATAGAGTCTGTATGTGCACGGCCATAAAATTAAAATGTATCATTCGTACGTGAGAGTGAAAAAAATAGATGATTAAGACTGTCATAGTAAATCAAGGAAATCAAGGGGTTTAAGTATCAGTTGTCAAACTTTCGATTCCTATAATAGAAACAAGATCTTCAACATACGACTCAAATCATTTGCGGATCTCCGAAGAAAGATTATCTAAAAGAATACTCCTTTTCTATTTTAGACATGGAGCATCAAAAAATGCGCGTGAAAGTATTGCTAAATATCTAATTCTCCCGCAGTTGATTTTCGCCGCATAATTCCGGCGAAATTATAATTTCGGCCGAGGTTAACATGTGTAATCGTTGTGCCTATTCTTATTCTAAAAAAGGCATAATTAAATACTGAATATCTAATTCTGAAAGTTTTGAAATGATCTTATCAATTTAAAAACAAGAATTAATTTTTTCGGCTTGTATAAAATCCTAAACATCTAATATAATGATTTGCATAAAAATTATAGATATTTTAGATATTTTACATTTTTACTATTCCTAAAATTACAATATTGATATTTAATAAAAATAAATATATATAAAGTTATTATAAAAATTATTTTTGTAAAAATTATAACCAAAAAAAAAAAATTTTCATTTCTAAAAATTTCATACTGAAGTATTTTATTAAATTTTATTAAAATATATTTAGTTTTTTTTTTTGTATTTTTCTCTTAAAAAACAAATATTAAAAACTAAATAAAAGATAAAATTATAAGTATATAATATTTAAACAACTATACTGAATTTAAAAGAATTTTTATTAGCAAACTTTTTTTTTAATTTACATTTATATAATATAATTTTATTGAAATTTGATTTTATATAATTATAAAAACAAGAATTATAAATTAATTGCCTATTAAAAATATGTAAATATTAATGAAAAAAAAATTAAGTAATATTCTATAAAAATGAAAAAACAGTACAAATAAAAACAGGATTGAAACTTGAAAGGATGCATTCTAATGATTCTGACAAACAAAAATCACTAACAACTAACTTTATAATTTATTAAAAGCCATGAAGAATCAGCTAGTATATAATTTTGAAAATATTGTTCAAACTGATTGGAATTTACAGATGGACAGTCTTATGATCATTTCGATATTGAGCAAAAACATAATTCAAACCAACAGGACTAGCAATATATTTTCACAGATAGATAGGCTAAAAGTTATTAAATTATATATATAGAGATCAAAATCACAATTACATTTAATATTCTTACAACAAATAATACATGGTCATAGTGTAGTTTTATTGAAATGAAGATAAATTAAATTTACACTCAGAATTTTATTGAAAGAAATAATACCATACTTTTTTTAAATATTTTACTGATTTTCTTTGTGACAAATTTCATTAAGCCCTTATATCTTATATAGTAAAATATGTAAAAAGAAACATTATTTATTATGGAATAAACTCAAATAACTTTGATATACTAATTGAATGCTAAGGATACAATCATAGTAATAGTAGTACCATCAATATAGTTTACACAAATCTTGTATTTTATATTAAAAAAAAATTAATACAAATATATTACAGTTATTAAAGTACAATCACTTCTTTCTTTTACAAATGGTATATTTACAGGATTATAATACTGAAAAACTTGATCAAAACACATTTGATTATTACTTCAGTAAGATTAGAATTCTAATTAGTACAATTTGGGTTTAATTTAAATTATATTAAAACCAAACTAAATTTTTAGTATTAGTAATTAGTGATTTACTGAATTTTCAGTATCAGTAAACTGTATAACTGAACTGATCAATAATTATCAATTACTAATACCAATTTTATACATGTAGCTGAAACCTCTATGAAGCTGGACAGGGTTTCAGACTTTCAGTAATTTAATTATAATAAATTATTAAAAACTATCCAGAAATCCATCCGAAACTCCAAAGACTTTATATTATAGTTTCGGCTGGATGTAGAGATTAATTTTTATCATTTTTTAACTTAATTTTGATTTAAAAACGTGGCCAAAAATCACGTGAAAAGGTTTCGGCTACAAGTATAACCAATTTACTGCTATTTTTTAATGTTTATATTTATAAAATACTTTTATTACAAAAAATTATATTAAAAACTATATATATATATTGTCATTTAAATATTTAATAATAAATCCATATAAATTTATTATTAAATTTTAATTCTCTAATACATATATAATTTTTTTTTGCTATTAAATATTAATAAATTTTTACTTATAAATGTTTATTTACTAATTAAAGTAGTAAAAAATAATAAGTTTATAATTGGATTAATATAAATAAAATCAGATTAATAAATTAGTTTAGGAAATAATAAAACTGATACTAAAAACTGAAATTACTGAACAGATTAGTAATATTAGTTTAGTAATTTTTGATGTAATTACTAACTAAAAATTGAAAATTAATCAGTTCAGTTCAGTAATTATTGAAACTGATTAGAATTTTAAATAAGATATAAAGATGAATTTTCATTAGTTATGTTGGCTTATTAATTACTATTAAATGATATACAAATATGTATAAATAGTTCCCTAAACTTAAATAAAAAAAATCAATACAATCATATAATTATGGGCTTAGAAAAAACTCTACTTACTTCATATGAAATCTTACTTTAGAATTTACTTAAATTCTATTGATTAATTAACTAAAAAAAAAATTATAATAATGTAATATAAAATTTCCTTTTATAGTAGAATCTTTAAAGAGTTTTATATGTAAACTTTACTTTAGGCTATAGGGTAATTTATCTTAATAGTAGGCAGAGTTTTGCTTAGAATAAATTATGAAAAATAATGATATCAATTATCAGTTATATCAGTGTTATATCATATAACATATCAATTATTAATTAAAAAATTGTACTGCAAAAATGATTTGCACAAAATTACAAATATTTTAAAATTTTCTTTTAAGTAAAGACTTTACAAATCTTAGTAAACTTTTATTATTAAAATTTTACCTATTTATTGACTTTTTATTTAATAAAATAACTTTATTTGAAAAGTTTATATTATGTTAACTTTTTCTACTTTTTGATTTCAGCTCTGAAATGCAAGTTTGTATGTAAATTAAATTTCATTTTAAATATTTAAACATATGTAATTTTTTAAATATTTAGTAAGAAAAGGTTGCACTGGTAAAAAAATGATTTATCCTACACATATCTTACACATATTGGGTACTTAAAATGTAGAAAATCATACACAAATAATACACATATCATACACATATCGGGTACTAATATATATATCATACATATATCAGGTACCTGATAGGTATACTATATATATAAGTACCCGATATGTGTATGATATGTGTATTATTTGTGTATGATTTTCTACATTTTAAGTACCCGATATATGTAAGATATGTGTAGGATATGTGTAGGATAGACCATTTTTTTACCAGTGTTGGTTTTATAAGAAAATTATTAATAAATTCATGATTTTTAATTTTTTTACTTAGTTTATTTATATTAATGTTGCAAAAATTACATATATAAGTTTAATTTTAATAGTATAAAAAGAATATTTGATGTAAATTACATATTGTAATTAAATAATAAATAAGTATTTTTCAAATTTTAAATTTTTTTATATATTAAATAAAGTATAAAAATTATTTTTAATAAAAGTTTTTTAATATTTAATCAATTTTAATAAAAATTGAGCTTAAAAGTATTTGTAAAATTTCAGTATATATTATTATGTAAAACAGAGCAAAAAGTTATTATTACATAAATTTTTATAGTAAAAAGTTCTTATGTCAATTTGTAACATTTCTTTAATATTAGCTTTTTTTATAAAATAAAATTTCATTTATTTTTAACATATTCAAAATTTCTTTCTATTTTAACTGCCCTAATAGTAATACCATTTGAATGCAAAATAACAATTTTTTTAAATAGTTAAGTTACTATTAATGGCATTAATTATATGAAATACAATATAATCGATAAGAATAAAAACTTTTGAAATAAAATAACTATATACTTTTATATAATATAGTAAATCTTATCATCACAAAAAATATAAACTTTAGTATGGTTAAAGTGAAGGGATATACAAAATGCCAATAGAATAATACAGCAGATTTTTTGGTAAAAAAAAAATAAATTTAGCTTTAATAATAAGAATAGAATTTTAGATAGTCATATTTTATATATTAGTTATAGTTTTTTACTTTATTTTATACCAATATAATCAGATATTGCAATAGATAGAAACATTTAAAATTTTACAAAAGAAGTTGCGAATTTGCTAGAAGAAGTTAAATAATCTTTTAATAGATACTGGGCAGATTA